ATTCTGGCTCGAAGCCGCCTCCAAGCGCCTGTGGGAAGGGCCAGTCCTGAGCTGACTGCAAATCACTGGAAGGAAGTGACCTGGTAAAGTTGGTCTCGGCTAGGAGATAACCCTCAGCTTTGCAGTGCCACGAGGGCACTTTCTACGTGCTAAACTGCTTGACCGTGCGCGTGCTTGCATTGTAGCTGCACTTAGTCAGTGCTGAGTTGAATGGGTGACACCCCTCGAAATGCAGGGTGTCCTCAGCGCGGCTCGAGGAGCCGGAGCAGGGAGAGCCTGGAGTCGTCCGAGATGCGCAGAGCCCTAGGTGTCTGCTGGGCGTGGAGGTTGGCTAAGTAGCACTCCAGCGGGTGGGCTGCGTATCTCATACAAACAGTCGCGCAGTTGCAGTGCAAGAAAGGGCAAAAAACGTGGTGTGTACAAATGCCCAGGGATGATCTAGGTGTAGCGATGCCCATGTTGTACTCTGGGTATTTCTCTGGCTTCTGGGCTTTGCTGGTTGCCACATGGAGTTGGGAAGGATTTTTCCCCTCCTGCTGTTTCAGGGTTTTTGCTTCTTTTTTTTTAAGTCTTTCTCAGAGGTGCTGGGTGCTGGCTGCAGCCTAGGCCAGGGATGGGGACTGGGTTGTGCCAGTGCTCCTGCTGCAGCTCAGACCCAGAGATCGTGGCTAGTGGGTCTTTCTCCTCCACTTAGGGTGAGACTGCCACTGCATTGTGGGCAGGAAGGGATTTCCCCCCCTGGTCAGATTGATATGGACTAGGGGAGGAGGGTTTGCTTTCCTCTGTAGTGGGGGGGCATGGCCTTCTATCTGGGGTCTCTTGAGTGCATATTAACAACCTTTGCAGCCCCAGGATGTTGGTTTAACTGTGGCAGGGTTGGGCGTGATACCTGGTGCCGTGTCAGGGTTGACTGAACAGTGCTGCTAAGAGGCTGGACAGTAGACGTGTACAGGATGGTTTGGATGGGGCTGATCCTGCCTCGGGCAGGAGCTGGACCAGATGTGGCCTCCAGAAGTCCCTTCCAGTCCCACTCCTCTGTGGTTCTGTGAATTGCAGGAGTCTGAAATCTGTTTTCGTTCAGGTCTGGGATGAAAGGGGAGCAATTTCAGGCTTCTCCATGAAGAGCATGGAGCTGCTGAGCTGGGAGTCTCTGTGGTATCCACCAGAAAGGCTTGCAAAGAGCCAGCCAGATGAATCATCACGGAAACATTGTTATTTGGATACAGCAGCAAACTGGACTTTTTTTTTTTCAAAGGAAGGGAATCTTGATCTTCCTGGCCTGGCCTAGGCAGAGCCCGATGGGTGATGCTGACGGCCTCTCCGTTTCCACCTGTGTAGCTGAGACCAGCCTCTGTCCCACAAGAGCAGCTTTTCTTGTGGTTTCCTGGCTTGGTCTCTCTCCAGCTCCCTTTCAAGTTACCAGTCGTTCTCTCGTGGACGCTGATGGGGACGAGCCAGGGCACGGAGCCTGGGAGAGACAGTTTTGCAGCAAAGGTTTGGCCAGAGCTTCTCCCGCACTCAGGCTGCTTGTCGGCATCGCTGACTGCGCAGCCCTTTTGTAGACCGGCAGCGAGATCCAAATTGCTGCTTTTGCAGATAAGTCACGGGGGTAGCCAGGCCACGTGGGGGGAAGAGGTGCTGTGGTCTGCAAGCGCTGCCGGGGCCTGGGGCAGCCGAGCTGGGCACAAGCAGCAGCTGTGAGCGCTGTGTCTTTGTTCCCTGATCCGGCAGGGCATGCCAGGCACCGAGTGTGCATGGAGATAACGCCAGCGGGCCTGGCCCTGGAGCAAGGCTGAGCCTGGGGACACCTTCCCAAGCAGTGAGGTAGCTTGCAGGACATGCCGTTCCACAGCGAGGACTTGGGATTAAAGGGCGGATTTCCCCATCAACAACCAGCACCACTGTGTACCGTGTACAAGCGCCCCAAATGATGGTCTGCCCCGGGGGGGGCTGACAGGCAGCCAGCACCTGGCCTGCTTCACGTGAGCTGAGCTGGGGAGAACGAGTGCTCCTTCCTGCCCCGCCGTCCACACAGCATTGAGTCTGTGCTGTGACACCGCGGCGCGCGTGGGCAGCCTTCGCACGCGCACGTCCGTGTCTCACTGCCAGCAGAAGCAAAACTCACCTGAATCCAAGTCCCAGACAGCCCGTAAGCGCTGAGCGACAACCAGACTGCCACAGGCAGAGCAACTGCTGCTGAGCACCGGAGAGGCAGCTCCTGACCCCGTGAGAGCCGTCATTCGGGCCAGTGGAGGCCCTTGGGGCATCCAAGGTGGTAGCGGGGCCTAGGGCTTGTCAAAGGTAGAGCAGCAGTTTGCATGTATCGCAGCTTCCATCTGAAGTGGTCCCATCGCTTCACCCAGCTGGAAATAGTAGCACGAGACCACCCGGGACGCAGGGAAAGGGTGGGCAGGGGCTGAGCAGTGCCCACGTCTGGATGCAGAGGGGGCCGTCACTCACCCGCGCTGACGTTGTCTGGGACACGGTCATTAAAACACCCCTTCTGCTCTGCTTCGCAGACAGGGAAAAAGGAGCAAATGTAAACCCATGTGAGGTCCCGATCTGCTTGGGTTTCCAGCTGCCGTGTCGCAGATGCTCGCTGACCGTGAGCAGCAAACAGCCCTGTGCTCGCCAGGGGAGTCGACGTGTCCTTTCAGAAAGGGAAAGTCCTGAATGTTCAGCTCCACCGGTCCCAGGAGCCCACAGCTGCACCACGGGACGAGAGGGCAAGGAGAACGGGGAGCTGTGCGATTGCACGTTGCTCCATCGTCTCCCCACCTGCGTCCTGGTGCGCGTTGCATTTTGCACGGCCCCCAAATGAGTGTGTCCATGCGAAAGCCAAAGACAGAAGAGCGGGAGTGGGTCAGCCCCTGGGCTGGGGGACGAGAGGCTTCCCAGCTTCCATCCAGAGCTGTCACGAGCGCATCCTTGGGCACCGGCCAGCTGGACGAGCGCCCCTCGGACCTGGCATCCCTGGAGGCCTCGTCTGTGCGTCGGTGCCCAGACGCCCCTTCCAGCCCAGCGCCCAGCTGAGCTCGCCCCCAGGGTCATGCCCAGGTTTGGTGCATGGACCTCATTTCATTTCTGCCTCTTTACAGTCTCTGCTCTCCCCTATGCCTGATGAAGGGTGAGTGTGCCCGAAAGCTTGCAAATACATAACATCGCTTGTTTGCAAATATCTGGTTGGCCTAATAAAAGATATCACCTCTTCCATGAGTTTTGATTCCTGGAGGTGCCACGTGCTAGGTGCTACCTGTGGGGTAGGAGGGGGCGAGCGAATGGGAGTCTGGAGGCTTTCGGAGAGCTTCCCGGCTCCGCGAGCACTGTTGTTGTAGGTGGCTCGTCCCGCTTGCACCCGTCAGCCTCCTCCTGTTGAGGAGACTCGTGATTGCCAACAAGAAAGGGGTTGGAGTGAGAGCAAATCCTGCACCGGTGGGTTGTTATTAAGCCATTAAGTAGCCCTTGCTCTGGGGCCTGGCCGGCAGACACATAAGCCTCATGCGCTGGAGAGGTCAACTGGTCGCCGAGCTGTATTTGCTGGAAAGTGGAAGCTTAATCTCGGTGGGGGCGGCTCTGCTTCGGCCTCTCGGAGTTGCAGCTGGATGGAAATCTCTGTGCACTGCCTCATTTTGGGGCCTCGGGGGGATAGCGGAGGCCTGTGGAGAAGGATCTCTGTGCTGGATCCCCAGGGGATTCCAGCTCACGTGAGATCCCCGTGGCCTGTCCCAGCAGCGTTTGCTAGGGCATGGACACGCGAGCTGTCGGGGGGTAAGGCGCGGTGGAGCTTTCCTGGCTCTCGGCTGCTCTGTGACGACTGCCTGTGGCCTTTCCCTGTGGGACGTGGGAGCTAAACCGTGGTAATTTAACCCTCTTTCATCACTGTTTCACTTCCATTGCAGCAGCATAGGAGCAAGCGCACGGGCAGATACTGCAGAGCCGCTGACGTCCAGCGCAGCCCTGCTGCCCACATAGCCGCCCCCGACCGTGCAAGCTCGACCGCTGCCCTTCTCTCTGCCTGTGCCCAGAGCAGGCGTCAAAGCGCCCGGGGAGACCTTGGCGACGTCCCTGACGCGTGCCGGGGGCTTGTGTTTCCACAGGGACTTTCCGCGGGATGTGCAAGAAGATTGACCACTTCCCCGAAGACGCGGACTACGAGCAGGACACGGCCGAGTACCTCCTCCGTAAGTCTGCCCTTGCTCTCTGCATCCTTGACCCCTAACGCTGGGGCTGGGGGGGTGCCCACTGCTGCCGGGCTCTGGTGGGAGAAGGCACGAGACATTTCGTGTTGGAAATGGGGCAGCAGCATCCCCCAGGACGCCACTTCTTCCTCTCGCTGCGGCCGCCTGCATCTGCTCCTGCCTCTGCTTCCAGGAGGCAGGGGAGCAAAGGGCAGCGTGAGCTGAGCTCTGTGATATCAGATCAGAGGCTCTGCATCTCCCTGTCCCCTTTCAGATCCCCCCAGCCCCTCCTGGCCCCAGGCCTGTGAGACGTTGCTCCTAGCAGGCAAGCAGGTCCTCGCGGGGCCGGTTGGGCTCTTAGTGGGGGGGATATTCTGTATTCCCTGGGACGGGGTGAAAATAGACCTGGAAAAAAGCAGGGCTCTTCAGCCTGGGCTGGAAATGTGGGAGGCCGAGCTGCATCCTTTCGCTCCCTGCTCAGACGCACGAGCCAGCCGGCACAGCGCCGCACACGTGCAAGTGGACACATGCTTTGCAGACACGAATGCAAAACACAGGCACGCGCACAGACGCAGCTCTGCACAGCCCTTCCCTCCACCTCGGGGGAGGACGAGGGGGAGCTGTGGGAGGCCGAGCTGGAAATAGCCCCTGCAGCATCTGCCTGCGCTGGCGGAGAGGGCGGAGGAAGGAGGTTTCCTCCAGCCTCTTGCTGACTCCCCAGGCTCCCCATCCCTATCACCGGCGGGGTTTGACCCGCTCGGGGTGAAATCCAACCCCAGGGGCGAAGGACGGTGCACAATGTCGGCCGTGTGCGGTACAGAGGTCGCTTTGTCCTGTCCGTCTTTCCCTGGCCCGCCTGGCGGAGCCGGGAGCTCTCTCCTGCTGCCCGCGGGCCCCGGTGTTTAACAGAATGGGTTGATAATTTTAGCAGATGAGCTTTTAACTTCTCCCTTTTTTTCTCCCTCGCATTTAAAATAAAAAGCGCCTGCTTAAAACTCCCCCAGAATAGCATTTTAATGGGGCTGAGCTGAAGCCCTCGGCTTTTAATAGCAGCCCTGATCGGAAGGAGAGAACCCCAAAGCTAATGCAGCGGATTAAGTGCCCGCGCCTCGGCAGCAGCTGGCAGCGAGCAACTTTTTGCCGCCTGGACCGTTGTGAGTCCAACTGGGAAAGGCGGCGACGCCGTTCTGTGCACACCGGGCTCCCGATCTGTCCCCGGGGCGGGCTGGCGGAGGGTCCTCGGCTGCTGATTTGTAAGTCGTGGCTTCGTGCCCTTCCTCTCTCCCCCTGCCAGGGGCTGTCCGAGCATCCAGCATCTTCCCCATCCTGAGCGTGGGCTTGCTGTTCTTCGGGGGCCTGTGCGTGGCAGCCAGCGAGTTCTACAAGAGCAAACACAATGTCATCCTCAGCGCCGGGATCTTCTTCGTGTCGGCAGGTGAGTGCCGAGCTAAGTCGCTGCTGGCGATGGCGCCCGGCTGCGCCCATCCAGGATCAGGGCCGTACCCTCCCGTGGCAGGGGTGCCAACAGCTTTTGAGAGCCTCCCAGCACAGTCCCGGGAGGACACGTGTCCTTGGATAGGCACGTTCCCCCCACGTCCCGGCTCATTATTTCCTGCGACAGGGTCTGTTCTGTTCGGTTTGCCCCCCAGAGAGGCAGTTTGCTCCCATTGCTGCAGCGGGCGGTAGGGAGGAGGGAGCGACAGGAAGAGCCTCGTGGAGCCATTGAGGGAATCAGCGCGCGGTCCGGCGGTCTCCGGCCAGCTGCCGCCTGGCCCCGCTCCCAAGCAAAACCTCCGGGTCCTCCCAGGAGCAGAAGTGATGGGGTGCTCCGTCCCCTCCCTCTCTCGCACACGTACCCGCAGGCTGCAAAACCCGGGAAGCCGCAGGGTTTGTTCAGAAACATCCCTCAGGCCGGGCGCATCGTGCCTGCACCCCCGTAGGCTCTGCGAGTGCCCATACGGCCCTGCCTGGCGGGGTTGTGCCGCTCCGTGTTGGGTGCAGGAGGCTGTGTGCCGCCGGGTGCCCGTGCAGCGGTGCGTGGAGGGAGGGTGGAGGCTCCTGCCGCAGGCTGCATCTGGAAAGCTGCAGGGAGCAGCAAGGGAGCAACAGGCTCTTCAGTCGCACTGAGTTGCAGTGGCGCAGCCTGAGCCGAGAAGCTCGAGGTGCGGGATTGCAAGAGGAGCGAGCCCCCATTTCAGCCCTCTGAATCTAGGACAGGCCCAGGATGGGTTTCTGGGGGCCAGTAATAAGTGCAGTAAGAGCCCGGTTGCCCTGCTCCGACCTTGCTGCAGCCTGCTGCGAATAGGCTGGGCTAGCTCCGGCGTCAGCCCGGTTGCCAGTGCTGCTTGTCAAGCGCTCTCCTCCCTGCCCCGTCTCTCCTGCAGGTCTCAGTAACATCATCGGGATCATCGTCTACATCTCCGCCAATGCGGGCGACCCCGGGCAGAGCGACTCCAAGAAGAGCTACTCGTATGGCTGGTCCTTCTACTTCGGCGCCTTGTCCTTCATCATCGCGGAGATGGTGGGGGTGATCGCCGTGCACATGTACATCGAGAAGCATCGCCAGATCCGGGCCAAGTCCCACTCGGAGCTGCTGAAGAAGTCGGCCTTCACGCGCCTCCCCACCTACCGGTACCGTTTCCGCCGGCGGTCCAGCTCCCGCTCCACGGAGCCTCGCTCCAGGGACTTGTCTCCCGTCAGCAAAGGCTTCAACACCATCCCCTCCACCGACATCTCCATGTTCACCCTCTCGCGGGATCCGTCCAAGGTGACCATGGGGACGCTGCTGAACTCGGAGCGGGACCACGGGTTTTTACAGGTCCATAACTCCATCCCCAAAGAGTTCAAGGAGTCGCTGCACAACAACCCGGCCAACCGGCGAACCACGCCGGTCTGAGCCCAGCGCCCGGGGCCGGGGGCCTGTACAGAGGTGTGTTGTCGGCTGCATGACATGATCCTAGTGACGGTGTAACCAGTGAAACCCTGTTTTTAAAGAACAAACCCATGTGGCTCCCCGCGCCCCTGCCCCGGACGTGGCTGGGTTTTTAACCCCCGCAAGTTCGCTTGCCAAGCCAGGCCACTGTGTTTATGGTTGAACTGTGTTTGGGCCCCGCGATCCCTCTCCTTTGCCTTCTCCTCGGGGAAAGGGGCATTGGCTTTGCCGTGGCTCGCTGGAGCAAGGCCCCCCAGGACTGGCGGGGGGCTTCCACAACCTTTTGGGACCACGACTCCTTGACGCTGCCAGTGTTAATGTCGACAGCAACAGTCACCGTGTTACCTTAGCTGTATGTCCCAATGGAAATGCTGGAGACAGCCCCATTTGTGAGCATCATTCATCCAGTACTTACGTTTATGCGAAACGAGCCAGACGCCCAGAGTACAGCGCGCCGGGCGGGCTAACGCGACGAGCGCTCGCGGCGTTCAGACCATTTGCCTCGTTGTAGTGGGTGCAGTGCTCGGGCTGGGGTTTCTTTCTGGCATTTCATGCATGCATTAAATAGCTTGGAGTCCGATTTCTTCATGCTGGTTTGGGGAGAAACGTCCTCTTGCACTTTCTGTCGTTTGGAAGGGGCTCTTCCTTCCCTTTTCGTTTTTCTTTTGGGGCATTCAGATCATGTACAGGACTCAGGAGCTGAATCCTTCCAGCGACTGGCAGCCACTAGCCAGCATTTAATTAATTAACTAACCTCTAGTGTTACAAGTAAATGAAATTTAGACACGCACGCACACGGGTACACATGCGTGCATATACATACACACGTGCACTCATAATGCACACGCGCACACAGGCTTGGGCACAACTAAGGGGAGGAAGCTTGACCTAGTCTTATATTAGGAGGCGCTGGGTTTGCATCTCGCGGTCATTTGTGTGTCGTTGGTGTACGGCTCTATAATGAGGAATGTCTCAACTGACTGGGAGATTCAAAAGGAAAATAACAATAAAAAAAAGTTCAGTTCAGCAAATCAGTCCCGTGGCTGAATAGGCAACTTGCCCTCCGTGCTGCGATGGTGGGTGCACGTTGCACGCGGCTCTGTGCAGGACCGGGTGGTCTCTGCCCGTCTCCTGAGCACGTGACCCCAAGTGCTTCTTCACTGGAGCGGGGGTTTAATTGGGGCATCCTGGCCAAGCTCCCTTGCGTTTGGCTTCCCCGTTTAGTTGGCCTGGCAGGCCGCGTTGCGGCTCCCTTTATTCTGAAGGGCGGCTATTCATGCGGGATCACCCGTAACGAAGCTGGAGGTGGTTTCTATGCTGTCCACGCGCCCTTTCCCTGCGAGGCTGCAAGCGGTGCGGGGAGGGATCGGTCCGTCCGTGATGCGCTGGCATCAGGCGAGGAGGGTCTGGGATTTATTCAGTCGCCAAAGCTACTTCGAGTCCACTCGGGCTCCTGGCCGGCATCCGAACCGGGCCTGGAGAGCAGTTCTGTGCCATGCCTAGATGCAGTGCCACGTGGCCCGGGGGCACTTGTTGCCATGTGGGGGAGTTGACACGTGCACTGGGAATAATCTGCGGTGTGCATGCCGCACACGGGCTACGAGGGCAGGGCAGAAGTATAATCATTGACGGGCCGTTCCTGGAGCACCGCATCTGCAGCTCTTCAGGTGAAGCACCAGCATCAACTGGAGAAGCCTCTCAGCCCAGCCCTGGCACGGATTTGCACGCTTGCCTTGCACCAAGGCACGGAGAAGGTAGGTGTCTTGCGCAAGGGCCCGCAGGGCAGAGCTGGCAAGAAGCCTCCAGTCCAACCCCGGCTGCAAAACGGATCCGAGGAGCAGGGTGCTCTGAGCAGCCAGCCGGGCGGTTCGAAGCCCGAGTCTGAACGTCCTTTCCCCAGAGCCGGTGCCAAGCCGTGATTGCCCCGGGATGTGCTGGTCTTCTGGGAGGGTTGCGGGCAGCCTGGGTGCCGCGGGGCCAACACGGCACGGCTCCTGTCCGGGGGAAACGCTGAGCTCCTACCCAAAGCCTGAGCTTTCCTGGCTTCGCTGCTCTTGCTTCGAAGTCATCATTAGGAAGCGCTGCTTCTGAGCCACCTTTGAGGGGCCGTGCCGGCTGCCGGCGCAGCGTGACAGCTAAAGGACGACCAGAACAGACAAAAAGGAGTTTAGTCTTTAAATGTCAAGGCATATGCAGGCAGCGGCAGCTTCGGCTTTAAATGCTTAGCAGCGATTGCTGGAGACAGGCAGTGTCTAAGCAGCTGGTCTCACAATTTGATGTGTCGCTTAATTGAAATCCTATTTAACCTTATGGCAAGAATGATGGGCCCCCTGGAGAGACTTTGTCTGTGGGTCTATGGGGCTTGATTAGCCAATCACGGGTAATTTGGGGCAGAGGAAGTGTTTCATTTATGCGCTCTCTCCATTAGTCGCATCCGAGCAAAGGGACCCGGAGTCGATGCCTGGTTTGCACTTCCTTTATCAGCTCTCTCAGCCCCTCGTGGCCAGAGCCAGGTGGTGGGTTGCTTCTCCCCAGCATCCCCCTCTGCCACGTGCAAGCTAGCCCCTCGTCCTCGCATCTCCCGAGCAGATTTCAGCAACCCTCGTAGCAGCAGGATGCTGAGCACCGCCGCGCCCCTGCATCGCCTGGGCAGGTTGCGTGCTGTGCCTGTGACTGAGCATTTGTAGTAAGGGATGGGCAGGGTTTGTGCGGGGTGGTTCAGATGGACAAGATCCTGCCTCAGGCAGGGGCTTGGACTAGACGAGCCCGGGGTCCCGTCCAAACTGAGGGGCACCGTCTCCCGCTGACCAGGGATTGGGATGAAACCACCTGGGACTTTATTTTCAAAAGACCTCAATTGGCCACAGAGCTTCTCCCGGTCGTCCCTCACCAGAGACCACCCTGCTTATGGTGGTCACAGGGTCCGGGCTTCACCCGGGTCTCTCGGCCGCCTGCTCACGGGGCTGGAGGGTTGGCAATGCTAGCAGGGGCTGGCGTGTGCCCCCCAAGACCCTGGTGCTCTGCCAGACCCTGCGAGGAGGTGGAAGCAATGAATCCTCTGGCAAGTCAGGTCACTCCACTCCTCGAGTTACATTTCACCCTGCAAATATGCGTGCGCTGGCACTTGGTCACTCGCAGAAGCGAGTGGTGCCCACGCGTGGCACAGACCTGCTGGCTCCTCTTCATAGTGTCATAGTTGGTCAGGTCGGGAGGGACCTGAGAAGATAATTTCATAGTTTCATAGTTTCTAGGGTCGGAAGGGACCTGAGCAGATCATCTAGTCCGACCCCCTGCCATGGCAGGAAGAGCACTGGGGTCAAATGACCCCAGTAAGGTGGTCATCCAACCTCCTCTTAAAAACCCCCAGGGTGGGAGCCTGCACCACC